TGGCGGTGCGGTGTAGGGCCGCCCTGCCCCGCCCTGCCCCGCCCTGCCCCGCCGCGCCGATCGGGCCGCCGATACCTTATCGTGCGGCCCTGTGGGCCCCGGCCCGACTGGGTCCGAGCTCTGAGCTCGCTACATGCAGTGTAGTAGTACGCACTTGACTCGGAGGGTCCGACAGAGGGCCGCAGGGCCACGCTGCCGAGAGCTAGCCGAAGCCGACAGAGGAAAACCGGAAAGGACGATAACCTGTGGCCCCAAACTTGTAGTGTAGTGTGCGCGGCTGTCGTTATCTAACCGCGCGCGCGGGTCCCGCCCCGCCACCGGCCAGCCAGGCCGGGGTCGGCTCAGGTGAACGCAGTGTGTACGCCCCACCACGAGGAAGTGGTTCAGGGAGTGGTTTACACTACTGTAACAGGCGTTCAACTGTCTTGTGTTGCGCGTTTGCATGAGTGTTGGGCATAGGGGGCAGAGCATAGCACAGCAGAGCTAGAGCTGGCGCGTTCAGAGACGGCTCAGCTCGGCCCCCTGCTGCTGCGGCGGCGGCCTGCGGCTAGCGAGCAGAGGGGATCACCTCCACCACCATCCTGTGATTATACACCACCACCACCGTACGGACGGACCGACGGACGGTCCAGGGCGTGGAAAAGAAACACGCCGGGGCACAAGAGAGCGCCAACTATGGCGCGGACGGCCGAGTCGTTAAACTGCGAATAAGGCCGGCGGTCGTGCAAATAACCGCAGACACTTTTATTTTCAAACTGCCCACGCCACGCCCGCCGCTTGTTCCGAAAGCAGCAAGACCCGCAACAACATCGCATTGATGGCCCAACGAGCCATGGGAACCCCCTGCTGCTGCTGCTGCTGCTGCTGCCACCTCGAGGGAAGTGGGCAGCCAGCAGAGCCCACCCGACTGCGAGTAATGACTTTGCGGCTTAATTGCAGCACTGTCTGTCACGTGACGCTGCTGCTCGGGTCACACGTGCGTAGTATTTCCCGCGGTGGCGTGTGTTTTTGTATTTCCCGCGCACCGGTGCGTCGTGCGTCGCTCGCTCACCCGTCCGCAGCACCAACGACGACGACACCCTTGCTATACTCTCGATGACCCATCAAGCGCATTAATGAATGCAACACACATCAGTCAGGGGTCAGCAGGGGGGAGAGCAAGGGTATAGAGAGGTCGAACGGGGAGGGAGGGAGGGGATGTTGTCTGTAGTGTGTGGGGTTAGTTTTAATTGGGTTGCAGCAGGTCAGGGGTTGGCCGGGCAGGGCAGGGCGGCCTGGCTGGGGTTGAGCTTGGCTTTCTCAGGAAGCTCTGAACTGCTCTGGTCCGGGGTGGCGGCGGCGGCGGCGGCCGTGTATATAGTGAGGGTCGTGAGATAGCGCGGCGTACGCCATATGGGCGCGTCCCGTCCGCACCCTAGCGCCCCTAACGCACACACACACACACACAGCAGACATGTGTAGGAGGGGGGCCCAACTCCTGGAGTCACCAACCTTGGGGGAGAAGGCCCTCCGCTCCTCTGCGCTGTACACTGTGGGAAAACACACACACACACACACACACACATACATCGTTAATTCGTTCCCCTATGTGTGTGTGTGTGTGTGCGTGCGCGGGTGGGTGCGGGCCTTGCGAGGTTGCGAGTACGGTAATGTACATACTGTATTGTTGATTTTCTCAGGCGAACCCTTGTGGCGGCTCCCCCTCCTGGTAGTATGGTTCAGTTAGGACCCTCTCAGGGAGCCTCTCATGGGGCTCATGGGTATGCACGGTCCGGTCAAGAAGGTAGCAGGAGGAGGGGGGGTGGGGG